CCCCGAGTGCAGCGGCACACCATGCCTTGTCCTGCTGTCTTTAATGAATCCCAGCTGTCAGTTTACTTTCCATGACTTATCTTCTTTGTAAAGCATACACAATCTGTGGAATTCAAAAGGGGCTGCCTGGATCTAGTAGCTTCCTAAAAATCAACAAGAAACTGATTAATAATCTCACTTTTTAAAAGATCTAAGGCCGGGCGGTGGTGGCGCATGCCTTTAATCTCTGTGAGTTCGAGGCCGGCCTGGTCTACAGAGCGAGTTCCAGGACAGCCAAGACTACACAAAGAAACCCTGTCTCAAAAAACAAAAATAAATAAAGCCAACGATATTAATAGGTATGTCATAGAAACAGAACACGAATGGCTTTCCTGCGTGTGCGTGTGGGGTGTGTGTGTGTGTGTGTGTGACATGGGAAGGTCAGAGGACAGCTTTCAGGGGTCAGTTCTCTCCTTCCACGGCTGGTTCCAGGAATCAAACTCAGGTCTGCACAGTGAACGTCTTTAACCACTGAATCATCCAGCTGGCTGCTCTTTCCTGTTTGTTTCTGAGACAGGATCTCATGATGCAGCCCAGCCTAGGCTGACCGGGAACCTGCGACAATTCTTCTGCCTTGAACTCCCGAATGCTGTTACAGGTATTCAGCACCATCCTGGCTCAGTTTACTCCTACTGATGAGAATTCGAACCCAGGTTCACATGCTTGTGCAGTGGGCACACTTATCACATAGCACCCAGCTCGAATCTCTTAAAAACATATCCCTTCTTATTTTTATGTGTATGAATATTTTGCCTGTACACATGTATGTGCACTGCAGGTATGTGTGGTGACCACACAGGTCAGGTGTCAGATGTTCTGTAGGTACTGGGAATTGAACCCAGGTCCTCTGCTGGAGCAGTGAATAGTTCTAACCACTGAGCCTTCGCTCCAGCCGTCCAACTTACTTTTTAAAAGTCTATTTACTCCTAAGTGAGAGACGTGTAAATGAGAACTCTCGCCACCATTTGCCACAAGGCAGTCTGGGAAGGATCAGGAAGTTGTGTGACCACTGAACAATTCCACAGCCTCCATCATCACCCTGGAGCTCGCTGCTCACCCAGTCTTGACAGTGGAGAACAGCCCACACATATACCAGTGCACTGCCAGTGGAGAACAGCCCACACATATACCCAGTGCACTGCCAGTGGAGAACAGCCCACACATATACCAGTGCACTGCCAATGGAGAACAGCCCACTCATATACCCAGTGCACTGCCAATGGAGAACAGCCCACTCATATACCCAGTGCACTGCCAGTGGAGAACAGCCCACACATATACCAGTGCACTGCCAGTGGAGAACAGCCCACACATATACCAGTGCAGTGCCAGTGGAGAACAGCCCACACATATACCAGTGCACTGCCAATGGAGAACAGCCCATACATATACCCAGTGCACTGCCAGTGGAGAACAGCCCACACATATACCAGTGCACTGCCAGTGGAGAACAGTCCACACATATTCCCAGTGCACTGCCAGTGGAGAACAGCCCATACATACACCCAGTGCACTGCCAGTGGAGAACAGCCCACACATATACCCTGTGCACTGCCAGTGGAGAACAGCCCACACATATACCCAGTGCACTGCCAGTGGAGAACAGCCCACTCATATACCCAGTGCACTGCCAATGGAGAACAGCCCACTCATATACCCAGTGCACTGCCAATGGAGAACAGCCCATACATACACCCAGTGCACTGCCAGTGGAGAACAGCCCACACATATACCCAGTGCACTGCCAATGGAGAACAGCCCATATATATACCCAGTGCACTGCCAGTGGAGAACAGCCCACTCATATACCCAGTGCACTGCCAATGGAGAACAGCCCATACATATACCCAGTGAACTGCCAGTGGAGAACAGCTCATCCACACACCCAGTGGAGAACAGTCTATATACCCAGTGCACTGCCAGTGGAGAACAGCCCATCCATATACCCAGTGCACTGCCAGTGGCTGTGACTGCTAAGGACTGCAAAGAGATGAATCAAATTCCTATGAAATTTTTCAAAAATTCAAGTTTAAGAATGGGGGATGTGGGGGGAGGGGGGCTGGACTCGGTGGTTAAGAGCACTGGCTGCTCTTCCAGAGGTCCTGAGTTCAATTCCCACCAACCACATGGTGGCTCAGAACCATCTATAATGGGATCTGATGCCCTCTTCTGGCCTGCAGGTATACATGCAGATAGAGCATCATATACGTAAAATAAATCTCAAAAAAAAAGAAAAAAGAAAGGGGGGATGCCCAAGAAACAGAAGATAAAGGCAGGGAGGGCAAGGAGGACGGGGTAGCAGGAAGCTGGGGGGGGGGGTACCCTACTGTGTACTCTCCAATACCTTCTGAATTCAGAACCATGTAAATACGCTATTCAAAGAAACAAACTTCAGAAGCTTGGACCTAGTGAGGCCCTGGATGTTGTTATCTGTTCCTGACCTAGCTCCAGGTAACTGAGCTCTCAGACTGTCTCCTGACGTGTGTCCTGCCCTACAGAAACCCGCGGAACAAAATCCCCAGAAGACTGTGACATTCCCAGACCAGATGAAGCAAGCTGGGCCAGCACCGGGAAGGGACAGGAATAGGCTCTCCCAGGCTGCAGTTCCTCTCTCTGCCTATAGGTGGCGGTAAAAGGCTGCCTGCTCTGGACAGCAGAACCCAGTGGAGACTGGCAGACACAAGCAAAGACCGACAGGCATGCGCGTGTAACATAAAATAGAAACGGAATTTATTTCTCTGGAAGAAGCAGGTATCCATAGCTGAGGGCATCCATAGCTGAGGGCGGCAACTTTGGCAACAGAGGCTGATGGGAACACACCGAACAGCAACAGGAAGAGCAGGGGTCAAACAGGAAAATACTGGTGCCCCTGGGGTCTCTTTCCAATCCCGAGGCCTTGTGGGTCCTTTCTCTGATTCTGAGCCACTTGAGGCTGTTTCCGGGTACAAGATCCTAAGAGCAGCCAAGCCCACAAGTTCACAGTGAAGCCACAGGTCACATTCTGTCCAATACTCCAAATGCCTACGGGGGCTCCCTGGAAAAGGGCCCAGCCCTTCGAAGGGCCTGCTGGATGCCGGCCTACCCTTCTGCATGGCCGACACATCCTTCTTGCCCAAGTCAAGCCGTGCTTCCTCAGTCTAGTCCCCTAGGGCACAGCCTGGGGCACACTCTTAACCACCAGCCCAGCCTTGATCTGGAGCCAGAGGCAGGTCACACACAGGGCCTGCCAGGAGCTGCCTGTCTTGCCTTCGCAAGGCTCCTTCCCACCTCTTGGCTGGGGCACTGAGGGCTGAACCAAGGTGTGCAGAACAGCGCTGGGTGGGTGGGTGAGTGAGGTGGGCGAGGTGGGGCTCCCGGCCTCCGGCTGCCTTGGTCTCACTGTGTCCACTGGGAGCAGCGGGCAGTAGTGGGTCCTCCAGGCCTGAGACGGGGCATCTCCCCACCCTTGTCCCACAGACAGGTTCAAGTGGTTCCTTTAGGGCGGACCGTCGCTCTCCAGGCAACTGTCAGCGTCTGAAAGATGGGAAATGACCAAAAAAAGTTCATCCATCAACAGAGGTTAAAGTGCTTGCGGGAAATTCAGGGTCACTACAGGGCATTACTGCCTTTAGGTACCATGCAAAAAACAGGTAGTTCTGGCCGGGCGGTGGTGGCGCACGCCTTTAATCCCAGCACTCGGGAGGCAGAGCCAGGTGGATCTCTGTGAGTTCAAGGCCAGCCTGGGCTACCAAGTGAGTCCCAGGAAAGGCGCAAAGCTACACAGAGAAACCCTGTCTCGAAAAACCAAAAAAAAAAAAAAAAAAAAAAAAAAACAGGTAGTTCTGGGCAAGTTTTAGAACTTACTCTGAAGTGTCTTTTTTGATCAACTCTGACTTAAGAAAACAGTACTACCGTGTCCTGGAGTATCTAAGGACAACAGGAAGTCCCAGCTCCTCGGGATGCAAAGTAGGGACAACCAGCAGCAGACACTTCAGCCGAGTGACCGAGTGACCGTGCAGTGTGGGGAAAGGCCACAGCCCTCTCCCATTGTGTTTCTGATGGTCTCTGATTAGAGCACCAAGTTATACTGTGTAAGAGCAGCACAGACTGGCAGGCCCCGAGGCGCCTGCCTCCCAGCACCCAGGGCCGTTTTGCTTCCTGGGATGATACAGGCTTCACTCTCGCCCATTTCACCGCTTTGGGGCTTGATAAAGGTTTCAATTAATATTAATCTGTGTGCTTTATTTTATATGAGTACACATACATAAACTTTTAGTAAAGCAATGAGATCTTCTTTGGATGTTTATCCCTCCAAAAACATTAACATGTATGGAAACGGCTGTGAGAGGGTGAGTATGTTTGTGTGTGCCTGCGGGCTTGCACATGCCACAGAGGGCGTGGAGAAGAAGGAGGACAAGCTCAGGGGTTGGTCCTCGCCCTTCTTCTTGGGACAGGGTCTCTGTTAGTGAGACAGGGTCTCTGTTATTTGTTGGCTACTAGCATGCCAGGCTGGCTGGCCCCTAACCTTCTGGGGCTCTCCCCTAAGAGCAATGGGATCACAAAGGCTCAAGCAAGTCACATGCCCGTATGTTACACTGGTGTGGAGATTCGAACTCAGGTCCTCAAGCTTATACACTTAAGCACCTCATTCGCTGAGCGATGTTCTCCCAGGACTAGCTGGCACGTTAGACAGAAATATGATAAAGGAGGTGAAACCATTTGGTTCAATAGCCATCGTGAAGCATGTGGGCAGCTAGGCACTCGGGAAGCCGCCTGCCCCACCCAGGGCCCAGGTGACTCTTTCACTCTTCCATTCTTGAGAAAAGCCCGCCTCTGGGGCCCTGCACCTGCCCTCTCCCCTACCAGCTGGGGACTCCCTGCCCATGGGTGCCCTTCAGAGGGTAGACAGGCTTTTCCTACAGCGGGACACCCCGAGGACAGCCCTCCTGGGAGAGGGAGATAGGGTGGAGGATGGGACTCACTCACTTGTGGTGGGCGGGGCCACAGGAACCCAGAAGGTGGCAGCCAGCTTGCTCCAGGTTCCAGTCAAACATCTCCAGCACTTTGTGGCACTCCACCCGTGGCCGGAGACCCAGCCCAAAGAGCTGCTCCACCTGAGGAGCAGAGGGTAGTGGTGCCATGGGACACCCGGGGGGGGGGGGGGGGGGGGCAAGGGGTACCAGACCAGAGTCGGGGCACAGGGCTTAGAGTCAGCAGGGAGGTTCAGGTTCAGCAGAACCAGCTTTCAGGGCCCCTGAATGCCAGGGCAGGCAGGAAATGATGGTACCTTCAGATACTGGGCAGCCCTCTGCACACTCCAGCTGTGGCTCTGCAGGGCCGCCTGGCACTCCTCTGTGGTCACCCCATGCACCATGGCCTGCAGCTGGGCACACCCACCCATCAGCACCACTCGGGCCCATTCCTCTGGGTCCCTCAGACCCCTGCCCTTGCCCTTGAAGTGGGCCTGGCACTCACCATCTGGATCTTGTCTGCTGGCCGGGCAGCCTCTTGCCCATCCCCTGGGCAGCCCCTCTGTGGCAGCCGAGCAGTGGCCCTCGGGGCTGGTGGCCGAGCCCCTGGGTTGCTGTTATTGGTGGAGAAGTTGGCCTTTGGGTCTGGGGCAGCCTGAGGCATAGGTCGAACGGTGGCAGTGGGGGCGGCGGGGGCTGGGGTACTGGGTGGGGGCAGCAGGAGGGGTACAGGCAGGGGGGCTGGCTCTTCGGGGCTCTGGGCCTCCCGAAGGAAGCGCTGATAGCGCTCCAGGTAAGCAGGGCGCTCAGGCAGCAGGTAGTAGTGAGTACTGCTGACCTTCCTGCCGTCGCGGACAATGGGCAGGATACAGGGGCCGGCCCGCGGGCCAGGCGCCTGGATCACTTGTGGCGTGGCGTACTTAGGGTCCGAGGCGAAGCTCTGGGTGGTGGGCATGGGCTTTCCGGGTGAGCTGGAGAGCCGGTGTGGTAATGGAGAGCTGCCAGGTGGCACCAGGGGGCTCGGGGTCCTTGACCCTTGAGGGGACAGGGGTTCGCGGGGAGGCACTCGGGGAGGGGAGGCAGGTCCAGGCCACCGGCTCGCCTCTTCCTCACCCGGGGGAGCCGGAGACAGCTCCACACGTGGACGTGTGGGCCGAGGGGGGATAGGCACCCGGGGTGGCACCTGGGGCTTGTCATCGCCTCCTGGGGTCGGGGAGGGGGTCAGCGGGCCAGCAGGGACCTGGAGCTGCCGCATACACTCCTGCTGCAGCGCCTGGAAAATCTCCGCCGTCTGGGCCAGGCTGGGTGGCTTGGCGCCGCCACCCTGCGGTGGAAGGAATAGGTTGTCCTCCAGGGCAGGGGGCAGCTGCGCCTGCTCGGGCACAAAGGCGTAATTGGTCTCGCCCTGGCTCGGCCCAGCAGGGAGCCCTGCACCCACGAGCGTGCTGTTGATAGAGCAGACCTCAAAGTCATCCTCATCTTGGGCCACCTCGTCGTAGGCAGGGGGCGGGGGCAGCGGGGCGAGCGTCCCAGTCTACCACGGGCGTGGGGTGTAAGGGCCGGGGCAGCGCCCGTGTCGGGCTCTGGGGGGGTGTCTTGTCCAGCAGGGAGCAGGCATCCATGGCCAACTGTGCCAAGGAGGGTGCACAGGGCCGCGGGGCTGGGACCGCGGGCTCCTCCCCGAAGTCGATGAGCGTGACCTCGCCCCCACCGCCGCCGCGGGCTGCCTTGGTGCCCGGCACCCGGGCCGAGGGCTTCGCCAGCCACAGCCCCCGGGGCAGGGCCGGCTTCCTCAGGCCCAGCCGCTTGAAGTCGCTGGACAGGGGGTCTTGGTCCTCACTCACAGGGTCGTATGTCGGCTCTGTGATAAAAAGGGAGACCCCAGCGGGGAGATGGTGTCGGGTTTGATCGGGCAACGAGGGGAGGTAGATGTGCAAAAGAACACCAAGAATTCCCCACCAAATAAGCACAGCCAACTCCTACAGGTTAGCCTCTGCACCCAAGAGCACACCTGACCCTGCTCAAACGGGACAGAACCAGCTCTCTGCCTTCAGTGTAGGCTGGAGGGACCCCCGACTCTACCTAAGCCACAGCAGGCGACACCCCACTCATGCCAGTCTCTGACATTCCCTTCGTAACACGAGCCCTGAATTCCTTGCTCCAGGCCCGGTTAGTAACCCCTCACCCCAACTCTACTATGGCACACTGTGAGAGCAGGCGCGGGCCAACAGGAGCTTCCCTCAAAGGACAGGGCTCCTGAGAGCCTCCACCACATCCTAGACACAACCTCTGCAGGTCTGAAAGAGTGTGAGGCTGGCCGAGCCACAGCAGGGCAAGGTCAAGGGGGACCCCAGGACCACACATCTTTGAGGGTACGGATGGGGGAGGCAGGCATGCCGGGCCAGGTCAGCAGCAAAAGCTCACAGCACACACCCGCTTCCCCTTCCACACGGCCGGCCGGTCGGCCGCTGGGGCTCTGTACCTTCCAGAAGAGGAGAAGTGAGAGGAGAGAGAGGGCGGGGGGCGGGGGCCAAGGCATCCTGAGCAGCCCCACTTACTCTGAGTGAAGATGGCAGGCTGAGGTGGGCGAGGTGGAGGCTCCCCTGTAAGAAAGGCCATGCGGACAGGGGAGGCAGAAAAGAGGTGACCCGGCAGGACAGAGATGGGGTGGGGAGACAGAGGGGAAGAGTTGAGATGTGGGGGGGGGGGGGGAGAGGGAGGGAGAGAGAGGTGAACAGGAGTGAGCGAATGCACAGACCCAGCGGAAGCCGGGGGGGGGGGGGGGGGGGGGGGGGGGGGGGAGGGAATGAGGAGGCAGGATGGAACCGTGGTTCCAGAGTGACAAGCACAGGACCTGGGAGGTGGATGGGGCTCCCGGCTGAGATGGAGCCCAGAGTGGGGTGTGGGGTGTTGGCCTGGCAGAGAGGAGCATGATTAAGGCAAGTAAGGGGAGCCAGGATCTGAACAGGCCGGTGAGGAAGGAGGTGGAGGAAGCTGAGACTGCAGGGCCGGTGTAGACCAACCCAAGGACCCCCACCTCGGCGGCGGCGGCGGCGGCGGCGGATACAGCTGCCTCTCCTCTCCTACCCCACGCCTAGCCAGAGCCAGGGAGGCAGCTGTCGCACCTGCTGCTCTGACCCAAGTGTCCCCAGACAAGAACAGCAGGCTCAGGGGGGCTCAAGGCAGTGACCTCTTCTAGGCAGCCAGTGAAGTGGGAACACCAAGGAATGCAAGGGCTCTTACTTTTCACCCTTCCCAGATGCTGGGCGGGTCGGGAGGTGCTCAGTTCCACACTCAGCAGGTCAGGAGGGTCCATGGGGTTTCCCAGATACAGTCTGTTGGGAGAGAACCAGGTCAGAAGGTGGAGGGGGGGGACAGGGGACGGGGACACGCTCTGGCAGAGGCATCAGGCCAGAAACAACAACAGCAAAAACCCTTCCTGAGTGTTTAGGAGACAATGCAAAGACTAAGGCGTATTTTAGAGGAAGCTGAGTCACAAGCTCCCAGACTCCTGGGTCCCTATCGATTGTCCCTTCAACCAGAGGTGGCTCCCGAGAGAGGAAAGCACACCTGACCCAGGATGAAAAGCCTGTGCCTTCATGAACTCCCGGACCTTACAGGGGGCATACCTGCTCGCATACTCTTGTTCTTCAGACCCTCCTGGGAGACTGGAGAGAAGCACCTGCTGCTAGCCCCTAGGAGGGTGGGCAGGAAGCAGCTTCCTGCTGAACCACAGGAAATGGGGGAGGAGGCAGAGCTGCTGGGTAGGCTCCCCACTCACCCCAGCCCCTACGCTGCTAACCAGTATCTGGGATCTGGGACTTAGTCACCAAAGCTGATTAAAGCCTGGAAGAATGAGGCTGGGCTGGCTAAGGCACAACAGGAGTGGGACAGAGGGTGCAGGCCTCTGCAGGGAGGGCCTGGCCTCCCCTCCCCTCCCCTCCCCTCCCCTCCCCTCCCCACACTTTCACAGGCCCTTACCTGGTTCCTGTGAGACAGAGGACCCAAGGAGAGCCCTCTCTAAGGGCCTGATGGTCTGGAGTGTGGGGTATGGGAGAACAAAGGCCTAGTTTACCATACTCTCAGGAGGAGGCAGCTGGAGAAGGGGCCACAGAGGCGCGGAGCCCTAGCAGGAGAACTGACAGCCTACCTGGGATGGGTAGGGTACCGTGAAGTGCCTAATTCTGTATTTTCCCCAGATGGTTCCCGGTGGTCTCACTCTTTCCCTGAATGAGACTGTGAATCCCCCCCCCCCCCCCACCAAGCAGAGTGAGCTCTGGGGACAGACTAGAGGCACACTGCTCCCTAAGTTCCCCCAGGCCTGTGCCCACTTCTGGGAAGCGAACTCACTCCTGCCTGGACCTGTACAGACATGAGACCTGACCTCACAGGTTCAGGGCTCCAGAACTCTGGAACCCCCTGAAGGAAAATGCTGCTTGGAGGCAGGTGTCTCCCCGTGGGCCAGGAGGTGGTGCCTCCTCTGTTGGGTGGCAGGGGACTTTTTAGAAGTGGTGCCTCTTCTGATGGATGGCCGGACTTTTTAGCAAGTACAAACGAGTCCACCCTTGGGATCTCCTGAGCCTGGTTTTACTTACAACGGAAAACTAGGCACAAACAGACCCTCTGCCCCACAGATGTGACAGGGCAGTGCTGGGGAAGAGAGAAAGCTGGAGGCCCAGCAAGGCGCGCCCTGCCCCCCCCCCGCCCCCCAGCCCCAGTGCACCCTTGGCACGCACAGCCAATCTGGGCCCTCCTCCGGCACTGACACCTTGTCCCACCCCAGCTCCAGAGCCTACTCTCGTCTGGTAGGTGGCCTTCGGGCACAAAAGCAGCTGACGGAGGAGAAAAGAGGTAAGATGTGCGGAGCCCCAGGAGGATGGCAAGGTTCAGAACCCGCAGCAGGGAGCAAGGGCAGACAGCGAACGCAGAAAGGATCTCTGCTCACGCACGTCTCAGACACCTACACATCTATTCTCAGGTAAAAGCTGCAACACACTGTGCGGGGCCGTGAGGTCTGTAGCGTGCGGCTCTCCCCTCTGCAGAGAGGGCATGCAGTGCCGGACCTAACCCGCACGCCCTCTAAACCGGAGGACAGGAGGAGGTGATCACACCGCACAACGGCACAGAAGAAACGACACAATGCAGACACACATATGTGGTTCAAGTGCCACACCAGGGGCAGGATCCCTGAGGACAAATGATAAATACGGCCCAGGGATGGGAAAGCTCGCCTCTGCGCCCCTGCGGTCGGCAGCCTGCCATGAGTGAGAAAAGCAACTGACCATGGGAAGGGTTGTGCGCATCTGCATGGCCGGAGGGCCAGCATCTGCATACGCCTGGGTTAGGAAACCACAGTATGTGTAAGCATCAAGGGGTGGTGACACCTTTCTGCAGGTGACCCGCGGCCAAGGGGCAGAGGCTGTCTCACTGCCCCAAAGCTTTCCACTATAGGAAAAACTGGGACCCCACTTGGTTGGAAAGGCCAACAAGGTAAGGCCTTAACCACTCCTGGCCTTGGGAAATGACTTTGGGGATTCTCTCTGCCGGCTCCTAGTACTGCTTGCTTTGAGCAAGCCGGTTTAATTCGGAGCTTACTTACAGCCTTTACCTCTTTAGTAACAGACAGCGCCATCTTTGGAATCTATGAGAGCTTGGGGGTGGTGTGGTGAGGGGCCACTCATCTCGGGAACCCAGGACCAGATCAGGCCGGTGTCTCTGTCCAGGTACTTACTCATCAATCCTGTCAGGGAATCCCCAGCAGTGGCGGGGGTCACTGTCGCCATGCCCCGTGTGGATGAAGCTGTTCTGTAGAGGCTGGCTGATGTCCTGGGCCGACAGGCCGGCCACGGAGGTCACCACATTTCGAGGGAAGGGTCCCACACACAGCGTCCGGGTGTTCTGACCACGCCACCAGTAGTTCTCAGCCCTGTGTGACAGAAATAACACAGTGAACACCAGGTATGGGAGAGGAAGTGACCCCAGGCAAAGGGACCCTTCTCACACCAAGGTCCCTCCCTACTCATGGATCCTGGCTACCTTGGCAAAAGGTAAGCACTGGAGATAAGACCTCAAGCTCAGTCCACCCACCAGTCTACTCTGTCCAACAGCAACCCCATAAGCTGCCACTCCCTGAGGAGGGCCTGGCTGTTTGCTCAGCCTTACCCTAAGCTCCTCTGGGTAGGTCAGGTAGCTTTTCCTACTGTCTACAAATAAGGAAACAGATTCCAGCAAGTGTCGTACATGACTAGCCTATTTACCAGCATGATCACAGCAGACCCAGTATCCAAATCAACTGAGTCTGCAAAACCAATTTACTCTCACAATACACCTGTTTCCTCCCTCCAGTGGGGGCCGGTCTTGGTCCCAGAGCCACTGGATTCATTCTTCAGCAGGGTTCTAGAAATTTTAGGTGATATATCGGCCAAAGGGAGCCTCATGAGTTTAGGAGCATGCCTTCCAATCACTATTCAGCCCTCACATGCAGGTCTTCCAGATGTAGGAGTACACGGAGACCCAGGTCTCCTCTTCTCTGGGGCCTGGCACCGCCTGTGGGCAGGGCTGTGGGGATCCAGCCTTGCCACCTCCCCATCTTCTCAAGATGAGGCCTACTCTCTTGTCTCACGAGAGGAGTCAAGAAGGCAAATCTTGAGGATCTCGGTCCCTCACTCCTTAGACAAGACAGGAGCAAACCTGTGTCGGATCCAGTCCAAGCCCAGGCTGAGGCCCACACAGCAAGTCAGCAAGCTGAAAGAGCAGAGCTCTCTCTGGACACTCCACATGCCCCGCAGCTGACTGCTGGGGCCGCTGAGTCTGCTGCTCACACCAGAAGATGTGGACGGAGTCTGGGGTAAGGCATCAGTGCTAACAGTCACGCTGCTGGGACATACCCACACCACCACTGCCTGCCCTGTCCGCCCCCCCCCCCCACCTTTACATCATCTGTCCCAGAGCCAGAAGGGCCTCCCGTCGAACAGCCACAGCAGAGGGGCTGGGGGGGCGGGGGGGAGGGGGCTGGGCACGGCCACGGCGGCCTTCTGGTCACTAAGGCTGCCCTGCTGGCCCACCACCAGCCACGGCAACCCTGTGATTACTCCCTGCCTGCAGGCTAGGAAGGGCAGGGAAGGAAGGAGGAGGGCACCACCCTGAGAAGGAACAATCTCATCTGAAAATAGCAGAGCCACTCCAAGGGGAGAAAGGCTCCTCGACACACAGAGCTGCCCATGAAAAGCACAGGGCGGCCATGCCTGCCCAGCACCCCGGCTGGGCTGTTCTCCCAACACCAGCGGCTCCTCCACGAGGCAGTCCCTCCCTTCCCTGGCTGCCGGCCCTAAGCTCTGCTCTGTCCACCTCCTGAGGTGCTCTTTAACTCAGAGAGCTCCAGCAGAGCTGGAAATGTTACCCAAACAGTCTGCTCACAACACACACAACCCTACCTTGTCCCATCTGAGGGCAAAGACTGGGTGCCTTCCACCCCTCCTACCACAGGAAGCGGAGGCTTGAGGGCAGGCCAAGAACCTACAAACGGATTTCAAAACCTCTGCCCCCACCCAATACCACTTCTGAAAAAATACACAAAAGGGCAGTCAGCCATCCTACCTCCAAGTAAGACCCTTGAGATGGAGGCCCATCATCATTTGTATCCCCGAGTCTGTCTTTATTTTTATTTTTAGGGGTTTTTGTTTGTTTGTTTGTTTGTTTGTGGACAAGGTCTCTCTATGTAATCCTAATTGTCCTGGAATTCACTTTGTAGACCAGGCACCAGAGATCTCAAACTCACAGAGATCCTTCTATCTCTGTCTCCCAAGTGCTGCGGGTGTGTGTGTGTGTGTGTGTGTGTGTGTGTGTGTGTGTGTGTGTGTGTTAAAGGTATGTGCCACCATGCTCCACATACCTCCCAAAGCTCAGCTCACAGAATACCTCGGTGTCCTCTCGGCCCCGTACCCTGAGAAGGACTGAGCTTACGGGGTCTGAGAACTGGGACAAGCTGCATCCCAGAGCTGGAACTAGGAAGCATGCTGAAGACAGCTTCAGAAAAGAGAAACACAAGGAAGACAGGCAAGAGGCAGAGGAAGAGCGAGCCACGTGGGCAAACCCAACCCAAAGAGGCACGCAAAGCCCATGCACCTGGAGCCATGGCGACAATTCGGGCAAACAGAGCAATCCGGGGGTGAGAAGGCAGAGGAAAGCAGCTCCGGTAACCACAGACACACAGGCCCACTCCTAAGGCTTGCTGGCTGCTGTGGCCTCGTGCCCCCCACCTCCCACCTCCCACCTCCCGAGCAGTTCCAGGGACCAAGTTAGAGCTGGCAACTCAGAGGGACGCCTTCTAGGAGCTGAACCATGGGCTGTGGCAGTACCAGCAGCTGAAGCCACGGGGCAGAAGAGCCTGGGGCAGAAGAGCAGGGCAGCGTGCCCCCAGGACAACCTCCCAGGAAGAGATACTCCCCTGGCTCCCTACCGCAGCCTGCTCTGCTCTCCCTGACCCAGGGCACCGCTTTCAGAGACACACAGGAAGCTCCTGTGTTACCTCCAGGAAACACAGGCTCCAAGTGGAGCAGGGGACAGACTGGTAAAGACTTGAGGCCACAGGGGCACAGAGGGAGCTTTTGTCTCCTGGACGTGGGAATGGTTACAGGCCAACTTCTGGCACTAAGGCTCCACTGGGTACCTCCAAGGAGGCCCCCTACCCACCCTCAAGTCTTCCCGTCTCCAGCCTATTTCCAGAGTACTGTCTCTTAGGCCCCTTACCTGCCCTCAGGTCCAGACCCACATGTGGTTCCTTCCCGCCTCCAGGTCTCTCCTAGCAGTTCTTTTCTTTCCTCTATCACTGCCCTCTCCCACTCTCTGTACCTGCTAGATGTGACGTCATTCTTGTCCCGACATGAGGGAGCCCTGGCCTGTGGCAGTGGGACAGGGGCCACAGTGGACACAGGTAAACCTAACACACCCAGCTCCAGGGCCCATTCCACTGGCTCAGGCTGGGACTCACCCCACTCACCAACCCCAGGAGAGCACAAGATAAACCTGAAAGCCCCCTGCCGGCGGCACCTTACCCACTCTGAGTCAGCGGAACGGAGTACAGGGAATCTCCCTTCGCCACACTTTTCACCCACAGTGCTAAAGCACAGAGGCCCTCCCCCCTCCCCCCCAGTCCCTCAGACACTCTGGGGATCAGATGACTGGAGGAAGGACCAGCAGAGGGTAGGCCGGGGCAGGTGCTGGAACTAGAAACATGGGGGTTGCAGGTAGAAGGCTGAGTCAAGGGATGTGGCTGGTAGGCTAGGACAGGCGTTTCAAGTCGGTCAGACACTCAACAGTCCTCACCGGGAAGGCCTGGAATGAAGTGGGGGCGGGAGGTCCAGGCAGTGGATGGAGGGAGTCCCGGGACGGGGAAACCCTGTGAGGTTCAGCAGGAGGGAGGGAACGTTGCCAAAAGGGCTAGGCGGAGCAGGGGAGGCTGCTTGGGGTCTGAGAGGCACCAGGGTGAGCAGTCAAGTTCCCAGGCAGCTGGCCATGGCAGCTCACACTCACAACCCAGTACCTGGGAGGTAGAGGCAGGAGGATAAGGCATTTAAGGCCAGCCTGAGCTACATGAGACATTCTCTCAAGAAACTGGGAGTCAGGGGAAGAATCCTATGTGGAGACACCAGAGGGGAAGAAGAGAGACACTCGAGAATTCTGGTGCTGGCCTCCAGCTCTGAGGCCAACCTGGGCTGCAGCCTAATCCTCGGCACCATGGCAGTTTGGCCCTCATACAGCCAGAGCAGGAGCCCAGTGGGAAAGGGCGGCGGCGGCGGCGGCGGGGCTGCGGTTAGGCGGGGAAAATCTGTCCACGCAGCTCTCAACAGTGTGAGACCTGTCACCTCAACGCTGCCCGCCCCTGCCTTCATGCTGCCAAGGGACTCCTGGAGGCAGAAGGGGCCCGTTTATACAGCCCTCCAACTGTGCCCTTTAAGAGATGACCCCAGTGTAGACCACAGCCCTACCGTCCCTCGATGACAGTGATGACGTCATTCATCTGGATGTGCAGCTTGTCCGGCTCCTCAAAGTCCTGAAGGGCCCGCATGTCAGTAGGCTGAGCCTGGGGGCAGAGACAGGCCATTGTCCAGTCCAGGCTTGGCCTCCAACTATCCCCCAGCCACTGTGGGCAGATCTGCCCCTCACCTCCAGCAGGAAGTCCCGAAGGGCCACAAACGTGGGTCTGTCCTCTGGCTTGTGGGCCCAGCACTGGACCATGACGTTGTAGATGTCCTGGGGGCAGTCCTCAGGTCGGGGCAGGCGCTCCCCTTCCTTGTCAATCTTATGCAGGATCTGCCAGGCAGGGTGGTGCAGGGGTTAGGTAGGGTAGCAGAGCACTCACCTCCTCACTTTCTATCTGCCCCTGACCTGACCTACAGCTGAAGATGCTGCCCGACATGCCCGTCCACCATGGCACACGTTCTAGGGGGCTCTGTCCCCAGAGTCTGGGACCTTTATTTCCAGCCCCACCCCATGCTCCCACCCCCGTTTCTCTCCTGTGACATTCTCAGCAACCCTTGTCTTGGCTAAGTTCTCAGAAAAGAATCCGTTCCAACGAGGTCAGGCTGGGAACCGGGGAGGGCTTACTCCCACACACCCCGTGGAGAAGCCCACCCCGGTCCCCTCACCACCCCGGTCCCCTCACCACCCCGGTCCCCTCACCTGGCTGCCGTTGAGGCCAATCCAGGGCTCCTGGCCATACGTGAACATCTCCCACAGTGTGACCCCAAACATCCAGGTGTCACTGGCATGAGAGAAGGTCCGTGTCTTCAGGCTCTCAGGGGCACACCTAACAAAAGAGAAGGGTTTTGGGGAGCCCTACCAGTTACCCCCTTTAGCTACCTCTGGCACCAGGAGACCCTATGATCTAAGCAGAGGATCAGCCCAACCAGGGCCCAAGGCAGGCCAGGTACCAGCACACCAGTCACAGCCCTCAAGACGCAGCACAACCATTCCTGTCTGCCGCCAGCCTGACCTAACACATCTCCTGACCATTCTTGTCTGGCTACTCTCCATACGTTTGATATTGAACAGCGAGTCCTCCAGGAAGCCTTTTAGTACCCTACCAAGTACCACGCCCTTTGGGTCTCACGAGCAGTTACCCTAGTACCTTCCAGTATCCCCCTGGAGAATTCCTTGGATGGACGTGTAAACATGTAAGTACACAAGAAAGGCACCCCCGGCCCAGAACAGATAAGGGCAGGCCAGGGCAGACACAGTCCTGTGGTGGGCACCAGAGTCCCCCCAAGTTTGGGGGTCTACTGAGACTGGGGTGGAGCTCAGGCCCTACAGGCCAGCAGCACCTGCCCCTCACCAGGCAAAGGGCACCTTGCGATGTTCCTGCATGACGTAGTGGTCGTCATTCTGGGGCAGAGCCCGCATTAGTCCGAAGTCCCCGATCTTGACCAGGTCACGGGTAGCCAACAGCAGATTCCGAGCAGCTAGGTCCCGGTGAATGAAGCGCTTGGACTCCAGGTAGCCCATGCCCTCAGCCACCTGCACAGCGTAGCGGCTCAGAGTCCCCAAGAGGAAATGGCCTTGGTGTTTCCGTAGTCGGTCCAACAGAGATCCCAGAGGTGCCAGTTCTGTCACCTGGGGTCAGCCATAAGACAGAGAATAAATGTGTAGATCTCGACCCCTCTCTGAGAGTCAAGAGTTCCAGTCCTTTCTGGAGTCCGCCATAGCCATACTCAACGCTCCTTCCTGACCTGTCTGCTGAGAGCTACGAGTTCCACAGCTTGCTAGGCCTGTCCCTCCAGCCATCCCAGGAACTTGAGACCCCCAAAGAGGCTCAGACTAGAAATTCCAAAGACCAACTCCAGTCAACAAGCACCAGAAAATCTAAAAATGACAGTGCTGGGCAGGACCCTGGGGAACCCCTTGGCCACATCTGGTGGGAGACCACAGCAGGCAGGAGGACGAGCACATCTGGAGGCCCAGAACCTGCACGTTGCTCCCTGGCCCTCCCGCCTACCCAAGCACTCACCATCTTCATGGGCGGTGTGAGCACCACACCGTACAGGCGAATGAGGTTCCGGTGGTCAAGTGTATGCATGGCATTGACCTCCCGGATGAAGTCGTCCATGGCCTCTGGCTGGCTCAGCACATCGGGCTTCAGGCACTTCACCGCCACGCTCACCTGCCGGAGCAGGAGAGGCAGGGAGTTAGGCCTTCCATGGTCCCCAACAATGAGCTAACTGCTCCTCAATGCAAAGATCCTTGTCTCAGACCTGTTCACCTGAGCGGGTGAGCATGCCACCAGTTTACAAACTCCGCTCCTGGCATGGGGACGGCAGCTGACTGGCCTCTAAAGGTCATTAAATGCGGGCCTCCTCTTTCTAGGAAAATTCCCAAGTTAGCAGTGACAGTGAATCAAGAGACGAGCAGGCCGGGCGGTGGTGGCGCACGCCTTTAATCCCAGCACTCGGGAGGCAGAGCCAGGCGGATCTCTGTGAGATGGAGGCCAGTCTGGGCTACAGAGCGAGCTCCAGGAAAGGTACCAAAACTACATGAAACCCTGTCTCGAAACCACCACCACCACTACCCCCTCCCCCCCCGGGGGGGGGGGGGAAGATGAGCAGTCTGGAGACAGAGCAGTAATTTGTTTAACTAATGTCGCATCTACAGAACTGCAGGGTGCCACAGCAGCCTCCCTGGGAAAAGGGGGTGTATCTTAAATGAACCCACCCAAACACCTGCGAGGGTAGGGGTGGGGGAAAGCAGGGCGCGGCTCTGCTTCAGTCAAGCAATGGGACCGCAGACCACTGGTTTCCCATGTTTCAGTGGCCAATCTTTCACCGTAAGCAAACTATTTTTAGACTTGAAAAAAAGAAACCACTGCGCTTGGTTAAACCTGAACAGGGCCCGAAGGTGAGTCAGCTGTCTCCTGCAGGGGGGGGGGGGGGGGGGGGGGGGATGGGCCCACCCCAGTGCTCACCGTCCTCCCTGCAGGAGCATCCCATTCGCCCCTGCGCACCACGCCAAAGGAGCCGTCTCCCAGCTTCTCCAGGAGGCGCAGGTCCTTCTCACTGATGAGGCAGGTGAGGCTCTGCAGGGTCCCCTCCCCTGCCAGGCCCCCTGGGGTGGGTGAGGGCTTCCGGAAGGTGCTCTGGGACGGATGGGGCGGGAACTCAGCCTCCAGCCGCTTTCCACTGAACACCTGTTTGAAAGCAGCCAGGAGCCAGATGGAACCCAGGGCCCCAGAGGCACTCGGTCCCACCCCACTGGTGGGCCTCAGACAGCTCCTGGCTCGGCCACGCTGCCCAGGAGCGGCCTGTAAAAGGCTCACACTGCCTCCAGTGTGTACCCTACGGCGGGAACCCACAGTTGAAGCCTCAGGGTAGGTGTCAAAAACAGATACCAATACAGCTTGTGGCTGCAGTGACCCTCACTGGTCTGTGAGGACAGACACAGCACAAAGCCCTCTAGGTACACCCCAACCCCCCAACCCTCGGTCTCCAGCTCCTCCCCATCCTACCCTTCCCTTCCTGAACCTCTTATCCATCACAGAGTCTTGCCCCAGCACACAAGAAGAGGGTAGGAGCCCGAGGGGCCCTCCAAACACCTCCCTGTCCATTTTTAGCCCTGGCCCCTTCTCTGGGTTAACCATTTGACGCTGTCTGTCTCCATTCTCCCTGGGGAGTCGGCTGCCCTTCATCCTGCTCTGGGGAGAAGATAATTTTAGTCTGAGGTTGAACCATGAGTGTGGTGTGTGTGTGTGTGTGTGTGTGTGTGTGTGTGTGTGTGTGTGTGTGTGTGTGTGTTGCAGATGAAGCCAGTCTTTGCTGGAGAAGGGCCTGGGAAGATAGCTGGGCTTCTGGAGGGGTGCCTAGAGGCAGGGGCTGAGAAGGAAGGAAGATTAGAGGGTCTCTAAGGCCTATTTTTGAGAAGGAAGTGCCAAAGGTCAACAGACAGGAAAAGGCCCGTGAGCAGACCTGGCCATGGTAGTCTGACCTGTCCACCTCTGCTGGGGCATCCAGAGCTCTAGCTCCAGGCTAGACACTCTTCTCACCTCCCTAAGAGTCGGCCAGCCTTCCCTGCGTGTGCTAAGGGGCAACTCGAATCTGAGGACCTTTTTGGACTCTGTTCCTTCTTCCCAGTAACTAGAATTCCTAATATTTGCCAATAACACTCAGCTTACAAGATCTACCTCAGCCACTGTAGCCAGGAGGGATCCTTCCCACAGCCCTGAAGGGTAAACTGTGTAATGAGGCCAGTACTGGTTTCCTGAAGACATGACAGTTTGGAGGGGGTCACTGATCACCCAGAGACCCACTATGAATCGGGGATAGATCCAAAAATCCCATATTGCTTTTCTCTTCTACTGTCAATCAGCCCGACACACTCATCCTTCACTAAAACCTGGGCAAAGGCCCAGGACTGTGTCCCCAGAAAAGGCCACAGGCTCTCAAGAGACAGCCCCTTTGCCAAACTGCAGCCAGGAAACTTCTACTGCCCAATCCCTGACCGGCTGCTCTGTCCTGCTCACCCCCCCCCCCCCCCCCCCAGTGCTGAGGCCAGGAGTGGGGCGGGAGGCCCCGGCTGGCTGGCTTCCTCTCCCATTGTCTTCCAGACAATGGGCAAAGTTCCACTGAGTCACACCAGGGACTCACAACACCGCAGACCTAAATTAGGGTGGGTGGGGGGAGCTGTGGGGAAGGAAGCTGTCAGCAGAACCAGATGACCAGAGGAACCTGAAGACCAGAGAACGTGGGGGACATGGGGCAGCGTGGCAAAGCCGAGATGTCCAGACAGTCCCGGCCACCCACACCGGACACTGGCCTGACTCTCAAAGGAAGGACCACTTGTCAATACGTCCCTGCTCCCGCACACAGACAGGCTGTGAAACCCTCACTGCACACAGGCTCCTCACGTGTCCGTCTGTGGCGGACACAGACACTTAGCCAGGCAGCTCCACAAGGGCCCCGCCAGATAAAAGCCTGGAGGAGGGCGGGCTGGACAAAGTGTGAGGGAACTGGTGAGACTATACCTGCTGGGGAACAGGAGAAGGTTCCTAGGCTGCCGGCAGGGTAAAGCCCTTGGGGTGCCCCCTCCACTCCCACACAGCTTGCTCACACACCTTGCTCATCCACGACTTGCGTTTGCACACGGCCTTCCTCCTCTTCACAGCCTCCCACAGACGCCTCTGACCTGTAAGGAGGGAGAGTGAGCCGGGCTGTCTGAGAACTCACACACTCGCCCAAAGAGACTGCTGTCCGCCTGGCAGGCGGCTTCCTCGGTCCCTAGGGTAGGCCCACCGCTCATCACCACACCACCAACCCAGTCAGCTGCTCCACCAACCAGGAATTTCATTCACCCAATCTCTGCACTCTACTTCCGGAGGATTCTCCAACTGGCGGCAGGTATTTGTTCATCATGGTGGCTAATTACCTCTCCAACTCTCCAGACATATCAGGTAGAGAAACAGACAGAATTTTCTCCATTCTAAGGCTTACCCCATAAAATTTCCTTACACTACTGACATGAGACACTGTGCTGGCTGGTTTCATGTCACCACGGCACAAGCTAGAGTTATCAAAGAAGGACCTCCCCACTCCTGAAGATCCAGCTGTAGCAGATTCTCTTAATAAGTGATTGATGGTGGAGGGGCACCCTGGGCTGGAGGTCCTGGGTTCTGTAAGAAGCAGGCTGAGCAAGCCATGACGAATAAGCCAGGAAGCGGCACCATGGCCTCTGCATCAGCTTCTGCCTCCAAGATCCTGTCCTACTGAGAGCTCCTGTCCTGACTTCCTTCAGTGATGAACAGTGATGTGGAAGTGTAAGCCTAATAAACCCTTCCCTCCACAAGCTGCTTTTGGTGATGGTGTTTCATCACGGCAATGGTAACACTAAGACAGAAATCAACTATCCAGGCCAAAAGTAGCATAAGTTGACGTCATTTTACTAGCTTATAAAACATTTGGCTATTTTGAGTCAAACACACTAAGGTTTCTTCTCTCCCCCCCATACCCCCCAGACAGGGTTTCTCTGTGTAGTTTTGGTGCCTGCCCTGGAACTCGCTCTGTAGACCAGGCTGGCCTCAAACTCACAGAGACCCACCTGGCTCTGCCTCCCGAGTGCCAGGATTAAAGACATGTGCCACCATCGTCCAGCCTCACATTAAGGTTTCTGATTGTGTTTTTTGAGACAGTCTCCAGTAGCCCAGGCTGGCTGAATTTGTTATGTAGTTGATGGCTGAGCTACTGATCCTCCTGCCTCCACCTCCTGAGTGCTAGAATTACTGGTGTTTGCCACTACACCCGTGTGAGCGGTGCCGGGAATTAAACCCAGCACTTGGCTCTCCGACAAGTGAGTTCCACCGCAGCCCGATGTTCCACAGAGAACTCCACGACTTCTAACTGGCAACTGGTAGTTTTAGATTCGAAAGAACGAAAGATAAAGTTTCTGTGTGTTAGTAAGCCATCTGAGAGGTGTTCTTTAAAAGATTTTTTAATTTTTATTTGGGTATTGTGTGCGTCGGTGGATATGTGTGCGCCTTACGTGAGTGGGTGCCCATGGAGACCAGAAGAGGGGTCAGACCCCCAGAGCTGGAGTTACAGGCAGGTACAAGCTATCTGACTTTTCACGGCACACGCTTTCAAGCACGGAGCCATGTCTCTGGCCCCATCTAAGAGTTCTTGTCTTACACCTTTCTCCTGGTAGATCTTGGCATTGCCCCCACCGGCGTTCAGAATGGAACAGAGGAGACTCAATTCTACACTTACAAAAGAGACACAGGAAATACATCCCACACGTATCTGATCAAACCCAACGGGGAAGGGCTGGAAAGCAGACCTGGCAGCAAAGGCCTGCAAACCCAGGTACCAGGAAGGCAGAGACAGGAGGAGCAGGTTCATGGTCTGCTTAGGCTACAGAACAGGTTCAAGGCTACCCTGGGTAACTTACTGAGATTCTGTCTCAAAAACACAAAGTGTATACAGAAAGGACTAAAGTTCAGTAGTGGGGTGCTTGTGAAAGGTCCTGGGTTCAACTCCCAGTACCTCTTTGAAAAAAAAAGGGGGGTAGGGAGGTAGGGAGTCTGGTGATGTGCTCACTGGCAGAGTGCCTGGGTAGCAAAGGCAAGACTAAATTCAATACTCAGCCCTGGGGGGAAAGCCAGAGAAGGTGTATGGAATTAACCCTGACATTCTCCTCTAATTCCAACTCACACTGACAACTACGAACCATTCCCAGGGGACCCTGGGACCGGCACCTCTGCTGATACCTCCCACTCATCTCAGGAGCTCCGGGTCTGGCTGACAGAGTTCTCAGGTGCCATGACAGAGAGATTCTTCGGGTGCGGGACCACGCTAAAGACACACAAGGCAAATGGTCAGAGGCTAAAACAAGACCCACGGGCTACCTACCAGGCCGGCCCATGCCAATCTTTTCCAGATCTTCGTTCTTGACATACTCAAAGTGGGATAGGCGGGTGATGTTGAGGTCATCACGGAGCCTCAGGAAATACTGCTGTAGCTGCACCTCGGACAGCAGCTCCAACAGCCAGCCCGTGCCCTCCTCCGGCTGCATGCTGCTGTTCCCCAGCCTCTGTGGAAAAGGAAAAACAGCTGAGGGGCCAGGGGATGTGAGCGAACGGCAAGAGACCTGCACGTCAATGCCCTTGGCTCACCCACGTTCGACTGAACTCAGAGCACTTGCTTGCTCCCTAACCCAGCTGAGATGAGCCCCAGACCAGAGCAGTCAGGAAGCAAGTCTTCTTCCCAAATCTGTGCTCTCTGGTTGAGTGAACTGAGATCAACCTCTACGCTCAGGGACCTCGGGGAATCACAGGCCCTTTAAAACACAGATTAATAGTATCAGCCATCTTACTCCTAAATTTTCATTTAAAAGTTGGGGTGGAGTACAATGGCCCTTTGAGATCTGTCCACTGGACCCCTCATCAGACAGACCCCGCAGAAAGATCTCAATCCAGTTCTCACTGCCCGACATCACCAGGCCTTTCCCACTGATTCACGGGCAAAATCCAGGTGCCTAAAGGGCCGTAAGAAGAAAACAGGAGTGGGAGACGTGGACCAGAGAGGGTTTTCGGACATCCCGTAAACGGTACCAGATGTCTGAATTTGTATGACATCCTATCCTCAAAAACATTTTTGGGATGGCAATGTATGCACACGGTAAATAGTCAAAACGCACAGGGGGCCTCGTTCCCTCTCCAGCTGCGCAGCTACCTAGCTCCCAGTCCCCAAAGCCAGCTGCTGCTGATGTCTTCTTTGATTTTTCGAGACAGGGTTTCTCTGTGTCACAGCTCTGGCTGTGCTGGAACTCACTTTGTAGATCAGGCTGGCCTTGAACTCAGAGATCCGCCTACCCCTGCCTCCCGAGTACTGGGATTAAAGGCATGTGCCACCACTGCCTGGTGCCTCTGTGTGTCCTTTTAAGTGGAAAATATTCACACATTTCCCATACTACTGCTTCTCATTTTTCACTTAACATTTCATCTTCTCGACTTTTAAATTTAAATGACGCAGAACAGTACAACTTTGAAATATGTGTGAGTACACACACAGTCTATAACATACTGGCAAAATAAAGTGTACCTGCAAGCTACAAGCAGCCAATGCTGAGGGACCTGTCTGGTCTATACTCTCCTGGGTCCAGAGGAAAAGGCCAAGACCACCTTCAAAGCTAATCAGCCAAACCCATCCCTGTCCAAGACACCGGACAGTCAAGAGCTCTCCCAGACCACTCTAACCTCACCTCAGTTCCTGAGGAAGAAGATAGGTAAATGGAAAAGGCCAGCTGTCTGGTTAGGGGCCAGGTGACCTGCTCCTGAACATAGCACACTTTCAACACAAATGCGATATGAGGATGGGCCCAGCATGAGCCTCCTGCCCCCACAGTTCCCCATGGTCCTGCCAACACAGTACCAGGAGCTCAGACTTTCCCTGCAGCTCAGGGCAGCAGGATGAGTAACCAATGGGAAAGACAAGCCCTCAGTTCAAACCCTGGCTCTTCCACCGAGGAGAAAGGCCAGGCAGCTAGCTGGGCGGGTGGGTGGCTTCCAAGCTTTAAGCTGTAACCCTTTATTTGGACGGCTCTCTAAGGGCTGTACCCTCATATAGAGGAATATTTTTGTCTGTCACAGTGGGGGGAGGGGGCTGGTGACATTTAGCAGTAGTAAGGGGGTAAGAGCATGAGTTATTCCGCAACACACAGGACAGACCTGAACACACAGATTCCACACAACTTAGTTCATGCAGGTGAAAACCGTTAGAACGATCCAAACCTAGACACAGATTCCATTGTACATTTAAACATGAAAATGCTTTTTTGTTTTAATGTGGCCTGATTTCCCCGGAACTGTGGGAACTGTTTACTGGGTAAACTGAGGAAAAGTCTACTATTCGGAATATAGCAAAAATGCCCGCTGTCTGGATAAAAAACAGTGAAGGTTATCTCAAGACGTCTCTCAGTGGCTCTCCGGGGTTTGGGCCTCTTTGCCCCCTCCCAATTCATGACAGAATACACAAAGTGTCACAAACTATTTTCCTCTTCCTTCTCCACACAGTAGAGTTGGCACCGTGTTTACTGACTCTACATATACTTAATATGTAACATTTCTACTGATTTTATTTGTGAAGGGAAACAAAAATAATATATTAATACTTCAAAACTATCATTAATGGGGCTGGAGAGATAGTTCAGAGGTTAAGAGCACTGGCTGCTCTTCCAGAGGACCTGGGTTCAATTCCCAGCACCCACATGGCAGCTCACACTCATCTGTAACTCCAGTTCCAGGTTTTCTGACTCCCTCTTCTGGCTTCCTCGGGCACTGCACACACATGATGCTGCTGTGGGATGGTCTGTATATCAAATGTGTTGCTGATTGGTCAATAAATAAAACACTGATTGGCCATTGGCCAGGCAGGAAGTGTAGGCGGGACAAGGAGGAGAAAAAACTGGGAAGTGGAAGGCTGAGTCAGAGAGACACTGCCAGCCGCCACGATGACAAACAGCATGTGAAGATGCCGGTAAGCCACGAGCCACATGGCAAGGTATAGATTAATGGAAATGGATTAATTTAAGCTGTAAGAACAGTTAGCAAGAAGCCTGCCACGGCCATACAGTTTGTAACCAATATAAGTCTCTGTGCTTACTTGGTCGGGTCTGAGCGGCTGTGGGACTGGCAGGTGAGAGAGATTTGTCCTGATTGTGGGCCAGGCAGGAAAACTTTAGCTACATGATGCACAGACACACATGCAGGCAAAACACCCATATACATAAAATAATAAAACACACAAAATAATAAAACAAAACCCCGAAAAACCTATAGTTACAATGGCGGCTCTAAACATTTAACTGCGCTGACTCGTTCATCCTCAACCAAACCCTCTGTCTGCCGACAAAGTGTGGAGAGGAAGCAGAGCTGCACCACTGCATTCCAGAGTGAAGCCCAGAGGTGCACGGTGAAGGACCACTGCACCGGGCTCCAACGTCCACTGCCTCGGCCCCGGAGCAAAGTGGCCCCACGGGCTATGTGGCAGGGCTTCAAGATGAGGGGCAACAGGCCCCCGTCAGGAGAAACAGCCATGGGTCTTCCTCTCCTCTCACACCCTCAAACCCTGGGGCTCCAGGCCCCCCATTCCCTTCTCTAGACTCCAGGTAACGGCTAAAGTCACACCCTGAACAGTCAGGGAAGGCTCAGAGGAAACTCAGAGGCCCTCCTGAAGCTACTTAGAAAGCACAGTCCAGCCTGTCCCCCTTCCTTGACAGACCAGCCAACACACCTCTCTACTCAGCAGGACACCCCCCTCCCTGGTCCCCAACCCAGGGACAGAGCAGCTGGGAGGGAGGGAGGGAGGGAGGGAGGGTATGAGGCTTAGGAAGAACACTGGCATCCTGGCGAAGACAAAGGAGTCAGGTGGGGGTCTAGTCCCATTTCTACTGCTGAGCCCAGTGTGACCTCCCCTAAGTCCCCTTCCTGCCCAAGTTCCTTTGTCCATGAAGCACAGGGCACTAGCGCAGTGACCCCCAGCTCAGACAGTCTCCAATTCTGTGTGTGGAGAATCTGCACCAGCTGTGCATGACACACGCGGCTCCATGGCCTGCGTACACACACACACACACACACACACACACACACACACACACACACGCCCAAGACTGAATGCAGCAGCACTTCAGCCCACACTCCCATCAAGCCTCGGGAAGGTGTCCCTCAGCCCTGCCGACTCCTTGCGCCTCCGCAAAGTACTGCTCCGGAGGGGCTAACCATTCCCACAGCCAGTCCAATGCCCACCCCCGGCCCCCCACTCACTGTGTACAGACGTCGCCGAAGTCTGGCCAGGAGAGGAAAGGAGAGCTCGAGGCCAGGGAACCGACGGGCTGCCGGCATCTCCACCAACTGAAGCCCCTAAGCAAGTCAAGGGGGCTATGGCCTAGATGTGAAGTGGGCGGGCAAGGGCCTCCGCTTCTGAGTTTTCTGCTCTGCCCGGAAAGGAAACTGGCCAGGCAGTGGGGAACCTGTCCTAGAAATCCCCCAAAGCCCACACACAAGTGGGAAATGGGGAAGAATGGAGGGATGGCTTCGCTCCACAGCTGGTGGCAGGCTGGGTCCCCTGTCCTGCCTCCTCTCCAGGGCAGAGCTCAGAGCTCTAGTCCTACCCCTCGGCTTCCCCCACTGCCTGCTTGCCCGCCTGTCCTCCTTCTTCCCTCCCTCCCTCCCTCCCTCCCTCCCAGCTGAGCGGCTCTGACACTGGCTGAAAAAAGACCTTTCTGAATCCCTGCCAGGAGGACAGCAGGAATGGGGGGGCACTCTCCCTCCTAGCATGGCCCCACTGACTCCCCATACACAAGGCTCCCTGTCTCTGGCTTCCAGCAACCCTCACGGTTGCAGACCACTCATGAGATTTCAACGTGGGGGCTGTTACCAAACAGCACATGTAAGAAGATGATACACGCCCCCAGAAGGGCTTTTCTGGGTCTCCCATGGGGACCTGAATGTAGCCTGAATTGGGGGCTTGGATCCAGTCTTTCCTGGATCCTGCAGACAGATCCTTCTCAAAGACACCCCCCCCCCACGTCCCAACCTTGGCTGGGTGTCTCCTGGCTCAGACCCTAATGTGGCCCTGTTACCCTGGTGCCCGACGGAAATAGGAGGCCGGCAGCCAGCCAGAGTGGGACAGTCCAACCGAGAGAGGGGGGTGGTGAGAATCTCCACCCCTCCCTTGGGACTGAGTGCCTATGTACTGCCCACAACAACCAGGGTGCCTACTCCCCAGCTTAGCTGGCAAAGATCCAGCTAACGACAAATAAACAAACATGTCCCAAGCCCTCTACTCAGATACTCCTACCCCAAAGCTGGAGCTCAGGCTGCAGGACATATCTTGTCCAGCACCGCACACATGCACACATCTAACAGCCTCAGCTCAAGGGACCCGGAGGCACTCCATCAAGCACCCCAGGGCCCCCCATATTCCTACAGCTGACAGATGGTCCTTCTGCCCCTCAAGGGTGCCAGCTGCTCTACACCCCCTCGCCACAGCTCCCAGATACACCTGACAGCTGCAGGAAGTCCTCTTCTGCTCCCCAGATCCCAGCATGCCCCCCCCACCATGTGTAAGGATCCCCTGTTTCTTGTACACTGCTCTCTTGTCCCTTCCCAGCTGGCTGCCAGCTCAGGGAGCCACAGCTGGCTCATGGGAGAGGCAGCTGAGGGCGAGAGTTTGGGGAGCCAGCATCCTAGACGCTTTCCAGGATCTCTTCCAATGTTTGAACTCCCAAGCTAGAAAGACAGCCATTTCCTACGCTTATGGGGTGCGGGGGGGGGGTGCCCCCAGCACTAGCCCTCCCCCACTGCAGTCATTCATACAGAGATTGTGGATTGCCAGATACAGCCTCTCTTCAGGCTTAGCAAATGATCAGGGTGAGAACTGAGGTCAGAGCTATCGTGCAAGGCAAGGTCAGGCTGAGGATATACGGACACTGCCTTTCTCCACAGGTTGGCTGACCACACCCTCAGACTGGAGAAGGCTACAGCCCATCCTTCTCCATAGGATACCACGCGAAGCAGACCTGGGTCTGTCAGTAAATTAAACAGGTTTATTTCCTCTACCGCAAGCTAAGGCTGATCAGAATGGCCAATGTAAAAACTCTAGCCACCCCAGAAAGGCACGCCCCAAATCCACCAGAACCCCATGCCTGACCCTTTCCTCGGGTGTCTAAGTAAGAACACTTGGCAGCTTACCCAGAATCCAGCTATGGGAGACTTGAAGAGGGGCAACGTGCATACATTGCAGGGTCAGAAGCCAGATCAGTTCCTGGACCTCTTCCTCGCCTGGGAAAACAGCCCTGACCTTTCGGTCTCAACTCCCAGGCACATTCCCCTTCTCCTGCCAGCTACTGCCCTCTCCCGGCTAGGAAAGAAAGTGCTTCATCTCCAAGGGGGAGGAAGCGGGCCCCCGCGAGAAACCGTGCCATTTTCCAAAGCACACGGGGATATTAGGATTGATACACATACTCAACGGGCCAATACATGGGACCGCCCAAAACACAGCTTCTTCCCATAAAAGAGTGTACCCCTAGGCTCCATACCCGCAAGGAAGAAAGCCCAAAGGGTAGCCTATTTGGGCCCCTCGGGATCCATGCTCACTAAGTCAGATACCAACATCAATAATTCACCACCACCATCACCTCAGACATTATCTGTCACACACACACACACACACACACACACACACACACACACACACACACACACCCCCACTCTGCTCCCAGCCTCCTGGCCCTAGAGATCTGGGGGGGGGGGGGGGGAAGCACAGGCACCCTGGACTCTTCCGAAGCTCTTGCTGCAGACAGCAGAGCTGGGCCCACAAATCACAAGCAGATGAGGCCTGAGCTCCAGGTATCTCGCCATTCCCGTTACCTGCGGTCCCTCCTCGCCCCCAGCCAGGCGCTGGTAAGCAGATCTCTCCCCCATCGGACCCCAAGTCCCACCGTTGGGGCAGGGAGGGAAGCAGTGCTCCCCGCAGCCCCCGCCCCTCCAGCGGCACACGGGCGGCGGCAGCAGCACCCGCAGCGTCACTCCCCTGCGTCCAGGGGGGGGCGGGCCTCGAGCATCCTTCAGGAGGGGAGGGGCTGCTAAAGCGCCTCGGCAGGAAAGGCTCCAACCCTGGCACCTGCGTGAATTCCAAGGGCTCGGGTCCACAACCAGCAGGTTGTCACAGCCTCCAGTTGGGCCTGTGGGCACCCCCTCCCCGCAGCCTCCTTCCCAGTTTCTATTCGTCTCTGTGTACAGTTGCCCCTCGGGCAGCTGACCAGCAAGCAGCGGCAGCCGAGACCCTTAGGAAGCCAGTGCAGAGGCTCCGCCCTCTCTGACTTCAGAGTCACTGCTCCTCTGAACTTCAGGACGCCTCCAGGACTCAAGCTCCCCAGCCACCATCCATCAGGATCTCGGGGATCCAAACACGCCGATATTCAATAATACGGGGCTCACCTAAGAAGCCACAGAAGCCTGTCTCCTACTTCACCGAGCCCTTCCCAGCAATCTCGGGGATTCAAACATCTTCCACCCGCCTCTACGCCCAAGTCTACTCCACACCAAGAACGCTCAACGCCCACCTGCTGGGCACACCGACAAGTTCTAAACTCCCTAACCCACTCCTCATCCAGTCATGGAAGTCACGTCCCACCCGTCTGTCTGTTCATCCGCCTCCCCCCCCCCCACACACACACCCCATAGGCAGGCTGACTGCCCCAGACTCAGGCCATCCCACTGCCCTTAGCTCTCCGGACAGCACAGAGCCTGGGCATGCTAAGCAGACCAGTGCGCAGGGGCCAGACTTGGAGAGTCTGGAGAGCCAGAGTTGGAGAGCCAGACTGCTGGAGGAGTCGCTCCAACACGTGCTGGGAAAGGTTGCTCTCTGAGCCCTGGGCTGAGGTTATTGCCAGCCAGCAAGGAAATGCCAGTTCTCCCTCCAACCCAGGTCCCCAAGGTAACACACACACACACACACACACACACACACACACACACACACACGCACACGCACACGCACACGCACACGCACGCGCGCGCACCCACACCCTCATTCCTATGGCATCTGAGGCATCCTCTGACTCCTTCCAACCATGTATTTAGAGCTCAGAAGAGCTCAGGGCACTCTCCTCCGCCCTCCTTCCTAGGATGGGGCAGAGAGAAGAGAGATGTTTAGATACCCCTGCAATCAGTCCCAAGGCAAAGGAAAGAGATCCCAGCAGGCTTCCCCCTCACACAGCCCATCTTAGAGCAGCTATGACAGAGAGGGGAATCTGCCAGGCCCCGGGTTCTCGACTACGTGGAAGCTCCTTGGTACCTTACCATAGCGATGGCAGAAGCTAGTCTTGGGGGTGAAAAGTGGCAGCTCCAGGGGACGGAACAGCTACCAGAATCCAAAGTCAGCCGGCTGCTGACACAGCACGGCTGAGTACACCTTGCCCACCCCTTTTCGCCCAGGCAGGCTGAATGAAGGTCTGATTCAAAACCATTCCTCATTCCTGCTTTCTCCGTCTCACCTCCCAACACTCTACTGTCACGAGCTCCACAGAACCCAAACACCTCTGAGAGCTGAGGAATCCAGTCCACACAGGCACCCTTACCTCGCCTCACCCTCCCCTTTATCTCGCCACACCACAACGAAAAGGAGCCAGCCCACCTGCCCAGCCTCTCCAACAGCACCAGGGAAATCACAAATCCACACTGAGAACCAGGCGTGACAACCAACTTCCTGCCAAGAGGATTTGGGGTTTTTTCCCCCCAAAAAAACCACCTACCAGATTCTTGGATATATATGCCAAGCCCACAACCAAGCTTTCCCCTCTGCCCTCTTCCTGTCCAGGAAGCACAGGAGGAATAACATACTGGGAAAGAAAGGGAGGCCCACAGCCCCTCCCCTAGCCACAGCCACGGGATTCTCTTGCCTCCCATATGAAACTCACCAGGTCAGATCTGCTCACCTCACCTCTATGGACGCAGGGCCCAAGGTTCTGGACCAAGGCCAGGCCGGTTCCCCTCAAGACCTCATCCCAGAGGGGACTGTACCAAGCAACCCCACACCTTCAGGTCAGCGTGGTATGACATCACTGCTCTGAGGAGGCAGCTGGCCAGAGGCCAAGGAAGAAAAGGGAGTGATTCAGACACACACCATGACTGTCCACACCCTCTCCATCTCCAGGACAAGGGGCCCACTCACTCCCAAAGAGCTGGCTAGCTGAGGTCCTGCGGTTGGCCAGGCTGAGTGATTTTCCCTAAGGATATTGGGCCCACAGACCAAGGCTAGCCTGAAACCTCTTCATCTTCCTTCTTTTCCTTTTTTTTTTTTTTTTCCAAGACAGGGTTCCTCTGTATAGCCCTGGCTGTCCTCGAACTCACAGAGATCCACCTGCCTCTATCTCCCAAGTGCTGGAATTAAAGGCATGCGCCACCACTGCCCAGCTCATCTTCCTTATTGTTAAAAAATATTTCACTTGAAATCTAATTAATGAAATAATGTTTAGAGGAGAATTAGAGAATATTTTAAAGCATACACAGTATTAGGAGGTGCATTTCTAACTTTTTTTTTGTTTTGTTTTGTTTTTCGAGACAGGGTTTCTCTGTGTAGCTTTGCGCCTTTCCTGGATCTCGCTCTGTAGACCAGGCTGGCCTCGAACTCACAAAGATCCGCCTGGCTCTGCCTCCCGAGTGCTGGGATTAAAGGCATGCGCCACCACCGCCCGGCTTGCATTTCTAACTTTTAAGACAGACTGTCTTTATAATTACTTCATCCTTTTTGAGTAACATTCATTCTCCGAACTCTTCACTGTATCTCTTTTATTGCTGTTATTTTATTTTTTAGAACCCACTGAATCCAATTTGCGCTGCCCACATGCTCATGGGTCTGAGGCCATCCACAGGAGCATGGGCAACACCCCAGCGGAAAAAGGCTCTCCCTCCCTATCAGCTGCTATTATTACTCTCCTTCTTAACTGTATTTCTAAAGATTTGAGACCTCGCCCTTCCTTCTTTTCTAAGCATGATTAATGTCCTCATTCCTAGGTCCCACTGCCCCCCCCCCCCCCCCCCCCCCGCACTGTCTTCACTCAGAAGCGCCCGCAGCTCTCAACTCCTCCGTCGGAATTAACACGGTACTTCTTCCGCAGGACGCTGCATGGCTACCATGAGCTACACGGCCCAACCGAGCGAGCCAGCGAGCGAGCGAGCGCTGCACCCCTGCTAACTCCTGCTGGGCATGCCCACTACTCCTCCTGACCGCAGCTACTGCCAAGACCTGCCCGGCATCCCAGGGGCAAGCAGCACAAACCACCCCGGACAGAAACCACACCCCCACCAGCAGCCGTGACTCCTCCTTCACCCAGACCACCATCCAATCACACACTTCAGCCTCCTCAGCACTCCCCCCACCTGTACCAAAGGGACCCCACATTGAAAAGTTCTCCTTTGTGATACTCAGTCTCTTCAACTTCAAGATGAACCCCTACGTATCTTTAAGACCCCAATCAAACGCTGTCATTTCTCTAAGTCCCCATTTTCTGGCCCCAAATGGCTGCTCTACCAAGCCCCTTTGTTTTATTGAAGGAATGCTTATCAACAAGAGAACAAAAACACGTGAAGAGCCCAGCATATTTTTTTAAATGATCCATCATCATGGGTCTGGATAGATGGATGGCTCAGTGGTTAAAAGTGCTGGCTGCTCTTCCAAAGGACCATCGTCCAATTCCTAGCACCCACACGGTGCTTACAACTGCTTGTAACTCCAGTTCCAGGGGATCTGACACCCCCTTCTGGTCTCTCTGGGTACTGCACTCATGTGATGCACTGAGCAGAGATAGATGTACAGGCAATTCACCCATGCACATAAAATAGTATCCATCATATTCCAGTCCTTACAGAGCTAGTATTTGTGTAACTCTTTGGTTAGTACACAATTCTCCTGAGATAGCCATTTGCACAGGCTTCTAATGTGGCTAGTACCTGGTAAAAATAGCCAGAACCCAGCAAGAGACACGGTCAAGAGAGCTGAAAATGACTTTGGCCTTCGGACAGACGATGGAGAAAGCTGGGCTCTTCCCCCATGAGCTGCTGCACCTGGCTGCCCGGTGGACACCAAGGACAAGTCTGATCACCACCCCCCTCTCCCCCTGCCTTGGCTTTCCCTGTCCTCCCCTCAACACGATGTAGCCCTGGCTGGCCTCGAACTGTCTGCCTGTCTCGACCTTCCAAGTGCTGGGATTTAAAGTGTGTTACCACCGAGCCCTATTCCTCCTCACCGTTTCCAATCCAGAGAAGATAACTCCTTCATGGGAAGAGGGGCTGTCAATCATTTCAATACTTTTGCCCTAGACCCACTAAAGTACTTTGCTGCTAACGTAGCCATTTCAGACCCAAGGACAACTCAGCCAGAAGAGAGTCTGAACCAGCCTTCACAGAAGAGTCTTCTCACTAGACTGCAGGGAAACAGACTGGGGTTCAGAATGCCACGTGGGTCAACCCAGTGGAAGCCTGTATCTTATCAGGCATCCCAGGCTTATTGGGGGACTGGAAAGCAGAGAACATAGGAGTGTCAGGGGGAGACAGTAAGGTACGGAAGCATCAGACATGGAAGCCCTCCCGTGGTGAAGCCCCTCCAACTTCAGGGGGAGAGAAGAATCTACATGCTCAGCCTGCTCTGAACACCCACCTGCTGCTCTTGATTATGAAGTAATGGGATTTGTGCTCCACCAGCTAAGAAGAAGCACATCAACCCTGCTGTCCACAGGTTACCTAGATCCTATAGGGCTCCTACCGTCAATACCCTAGCAGTGTGTGACCAGGGACAGATCCCTACAGCTGCCAGGTTCCCTGTCCATGTGTGACACACACTGTTGCCCCAGGGCTTGAATACCAACCTGCAGACCTCTCACCCACTGTCCTGTCCAGGGGCCCTCGTGGCACCAAGACCCAGCACTGGCTCCAGGGAAAAGGGGGGCGGGGTCAGAGGACAATGCACTCAGCCACCGCCAGCTCTTCCAGGGCTGGGCAGGGCCACCCAGCTGGCCACCCTGCCTACTTCTGGCTCTAGCTTTGCCCACCCCACTCCTTCAGCAACAGCCCAGAGCTGAAGAGGCCTATTGTTGGGCCCTCGCTCGCAGAGGGGTAAGGCAAGGGACAGCAGCAAAGTTGCACCAGAGCCGGGCACCGTGGAACGCTCACCGTGCAGCGTGCACCGCCCACACCTTCAGATCAAAGCCCCAGCAACCCCAATGCGGGAGCCACTGCAGGCTTGAGGCCCCAGGAGAGTCTGGGAGTAGGAGAAGCATCTGGGTACTTCAAATCCCACTGCATCCTGCCTGTCTGATCACAGGCAAACTGAGATTCTGAATGGGCAAGGGATGTGTCTGGTCCAAAGCATGAAAGGAGTCTTCAGGAGTGGCTACCAAGGGAAGAGGTGAGGGAGAATGTAAGAGGCAGCCGGAAAAGAGGTGTTGGAGGGAGGAGCTGAAAATGCTCAAGGGAGCCGGGCGGTGGTGGCGCACGCCTTTAATCCCAGCACTCGGGAGGCAGAGGCAGGCGGATCTCTGTGAGTTCGAGGCCAGCCTGGGCTACCAAGTGAGTTCCAGGACAGGCG